ATTCTTTTTTAAAATCTAAGCAGTCACATAGAATATCTTAGTTGTTTAATACAGCCATCGTTTATTTAGTGCTATCAATGTTAGCCAGGTCACATCATGATTGATTTGACTGATTTTAACAAAATTATTACAATAATTCTGGATAATCACAATCCCATTATCAGATAAGGAAACTGAACCTTTAAGTCAATTAAGCAATTTGAATAAGAAAACATTGCTGGTAAGTGGTGAAATCAGTATTCAAAGTCATCATTATGCTCTTCACTAATAAACAACATTGCCATTCTTTAATGGTAAATTAATGTTTTCCTTTTATTTTTCAGTTCACAGAAACTTCAGAATATTTTATGAGCAACAGTATATTGAGCACAGAAATATGCAAAATAGTTCAAATAGAATCTCACTTTTACGTGAACTAGGATTTTAAACATAAAACTAGATTCTCTGGAAGAGGAGAAAACTTACAATGAGATATGATGGTGCTAATTATAGAAATAGTTTTTTATAAGTAAGGAATGCAATATACTTTAAAAGATTTATTTTATCTCCTAAAAAATAAAATGTATCCTTGTGATCACATAAAATGAAAAATGGAAAAACTACACAAAAATTAAATTGCCAATTAGGTTAGCTGAATTGCCAATTCTTTATTATAGCTAAAATACTTGTTTAATTTGGTGTAATTTTTCATTTTCTAAATTGAGTCACTAAATTTAGTAGAAATCAAAGAAAAACATACTGTTCTCGAAAAGAGAACTACTATCACGCTACCTTAATCCAGGGTCAATAGAAAAGCACAAAAATAAAAATTAAAACAAAACCAAAACTGATAAAGTCCAGGGTATCTACAGGATAAATCTGACAGCTAAATATAACCTTGACTCCATAAATAACTTGTTGGTCATTCTCAACATTCCTTTCTCTTAATCTGTAAACTGAAAAGCAAGCCTCAGTGAGACATAGGGCAATGAAGATTTTTTATTCCCCTCTTACTGCACAGTTTGCTCAAAGAATGTATTATGTGAAATCACTTACAGTGTAAAAATTCTATGGGTTTATATGACTAAAGCACCCTTAAAGGAATCAACTGTTAAAAATGGAGAGACTCCCTTATGAGACTTCAAACAAATCGTTGTGAAGTATGTTTTTTACTATTCATGTTAATTAAAAATTTACCAACCTATCACCAGGTCCTGCTCGATACCTTGCACCTGGGATCAGGACTGGGTCATCATCACTGTCATCTGTGTCCTGGAGAGCAGAGTCCCTGGTTGATGTTTCCTCATGAGCTGAAAGCCCCGTGGCTTCTGTTTGGGACGGAGGCTCAGGATTGGTGGTATTTTCATTGGTAGCACTCTCAGTGCTAGTCTGATCTGAAGTTTCTGGTTCTTTGCCTTTTTCAGACAAAGTGGATTCTTCTGGAACCCCACAAGGGTTATCAAGATTGAGGTCATTCTTTTCTCCAGAGCTGGAATCCAATGGCTCAGCTGTGAACTCATCTGTTTGTGCTGTCAGTAAATAAAGTAGTTAACAAGGTCATGTGGGCAACAATAACTATTTAACCTAATTTAGGAACTGACATTTTCTAACATGATGTTTAATTTCCCTCTAAGGAGAGGAAAATTCCACAACACACCTATTTGAAAATGGTCTCTAACACTGGAGAGACTAATGTAGATTAAGTCTTTTTATTTTCCCACATGAAACAATTATCTAAAGGGTGCAACTCACCTATGTCTATATGGTTCTGAATTGGGCTTTCTGTAGATGTACCTTCCTGAGATTTTGTCACGTCCTCTGATGATTCTTCAGGAGCTTCTGGAAATAAACCAAATTACAGTTGTCCATTGGTATCCATCATGGGTCATTGGTTCTAAGACCCCAGTGGATACTGAAATCTGTGGATGCTCAAGTCCCTTATGTAGAATGGTGTAGTATTTGCATACAATCTATGCATGTTCTCCAGTATACTTTAAATCATCTCTATATTATTTATAATACCTAATACAATGTAAATGCTATGTAAATAGTTGTTATACTGCATTGGTTTTTAAATTTGTGTTATTTATCATTGTTGCATTGTTATTTTTAATTTTTTTGATATTTCCAGTCTGAGGTTGGTTAAAGCAGGTTGGTTAAAGCAGGTTCCAGTCTGAGGTTGGTTAACGCAGAAGACCAAATGTATCATTAAATACAAATTTTTTTAGAAAAGTAAACACCAACTTAATACTCCAGCTTTCGGCCGGGCGCAGTGGCTCACGCCTGTAATCCTAGCTCTCTGGGAGGCCGAGGCGGG